AATCGATTGTAATGAGCGTCATAAATTGATCCGCGCGCGCGCGTCAGGCTTCCCCTCTTTATGCGTTTTTTTTTTCGTATCATTTTCGATCTGTCTCTAATATCTATCTTGAAAGTATAGCAAAGTACGTCGACACAAAATCATAGCTCGAAAATGTGCTCGATTTTACTTCGTCGTGGTTATCAACGAGAGTGCATTTTCTTGACGTCGACGTTAATTAAAAAGATCCTTCATGATCGAACAAGCGTCTCTCGCAAACAGTGATGTTTGCGAGATCTGCTTCTGGCAGATCATAGTCGAACCAAGGCGCGTCGTTTCCCCCTCCGACGCATTTGGTTTCTGAGTTACGCAAAGTCTGCCGTAGACACCCTGTATCTACTGGCATGCAACGGGAGTAAACGCGGCGCGTTAACTAATAATATCACTTGTCACGTTCAACAGCGCTTCGCTAGACAGCGCATAGTTGCCGCGAGATAATACGAGATTATGTGATATATATATGTGAACTCCCCTCTCTCGCGATTATACTCGTCAACGCTTTATGTGAGTATCGAGCCTAGTCATCTGGAACTCGTCGATCCTGAAATTAATTTTTGTTACACAACTTTTTTCGCTTATAATTATTATTATTTTATTAACCAGAAATTCGATCAGCACGGCAAGATTCGAGCCGTCTTAAGCAGTAGCTTTATAATAAACTTACTACGTAAGGGCATTGTTCGAGTACGGTAGATCGTATCGAGCTGACACGCACGCACGTTTATAATCGATTCCGTTCCATCGGGACGGCCGAGAGAAACTTTCGAGGAACGAAGCTTCGCTGAGAATTTTCTTTTTAAAATCAAGTACTAGATTCACATAGACAAATTTTCCAGTAATTTTTCGATGAATTGTTGCACTTATAAAATAATTAATTTTCGTAAAAATTTAAATTTTGATATTAAAAAATAGATAATTGAATAAACTAAAGGTTGAAATTTTTTATTGAAGAATGTTAGTTACTTACTTTTCAATATTCTCAGAATATTCGCATTTCTTTCACGTCATCTTTATTTCTATAATATTTTTATTATATTTTAGTCTACCTTCTCTTTATTTCTTTCCTTTTTTCAATTTTTTTTTCAATATTTTATCTTTCGATTAATTATCTCGCTCACTCTTTATTTTCTCGTCTGTCCCTTTCGAGTTGCGTACAGTATACAGAAATGTAAGATCAATAGGATGAAGGGTGTGAGAGCTACCCCCAATGCTATTCCGTGACTCATAATGCACACTTGTTCGAGCCCATAGTTTGTTTCGTGTGATTTTTAGTTTTCAAACTATTTTTACGATGTAGCCTTTTACTCGCTTTGGCTCCAGAGCACGCTGTTCTTATCGATCATCTCCATAAACCTTTCCTTCTTCCTCCCCCAATCTGTTACTGCCAGAAACACGACCATGCCAGAATCTAGGAAAAAGAGAAGAATCGGAAAATGATGGAACCACTTTCCGAAGAGAGTGAATTTTTCCAAGTGCGCTTGAGATTATCAAGCTTATATATTTTTATATTCCTATATTTCTAGATTTTCGAATTTTTCAAGAAAGAAAGAAACAAAATTACTTGAGCGTACTTTTGGAATTTTTATAATACAGTATAAATAAAATTTTGATATTTTTTATGTCGAATTTTCTTTTCGAATTTCTTCCTTATTTTTTTTAAATTATTATTTCTTATTGTTCCAAAAAAATCGAAGAAAAGCGAACAGAGTGTTATAATATAATGTTGACATCTCTCTCTCTCTCTCTCTCTTGAATACCTCTCGACCGTAAGCTTTGTAGATTCTAGCACCCGTCCAGTGCATCAATTTCAACTTTGTCCGCCATCTCCGAGAGACTCGCGCCTATTCCTCCCGCATTCTTAGTCGACGCATTTTCTTCCACTTAACTTTTCCGGCGATAAAGACGCGTCGACCTATCGTCGTCGTTCGCGTCGACAATCCCCTATCGTAACCATTCTCCCCCTGCCTTCTCTCTTTCGGCGGATCGTCGGAACGCATGCAAAGTAAAGTTGTTCTTTAGTTCGTTAGGTCGAGCCAAACGACGGAGACAAGGGGACGCTTTCCGCCTTTACTTACGGGACTCGAAGGTGAAAAGATAACCTACGAGCATTACTCACCGCGGAGGACGACGAAGCGGCGCGGGCTACGACCGGATGTGCTGTCTGAGAGGCAAAGGAACGGGGGGAGCGAGATCGTTTGCGCACCATCTTACGCGTTCTCGCAGTTTTTATCGCGACCGCTCGACGTTTCACGTACCTTTTTATGCCGTTTTGATACAACTTCGAAGCTTCAAAATTTATCGGCCCGATGCGAGAGGAGAAAGAAGGAAAATTCAGTGTCGTTTTTTCATAATTTATATATCCTCGCGTAATTTTTCGACGTCTTATCGCGCGAGGGTAATTTGTACTTTACTGACGAATTTTAAAAATACGTCTCAAGAGAATTTACTATTTTACGTCTTTTTACATCGTTTTACGCACAGCTCTCGATTCCTGCATTTTTGCCCTGCGCAAGCATCCGTCGTCGTTACGATCTCGTTAAGGAGTGAGTTTTGCACAGCTCATCGCGAGGGCAAAAGAGGATGCCCAAGGGCCAGTCTCTCGATGGCCTTCCGTTACGAGGGTGGAGGATGGATTCGAACTCCCAAGGGTGAAATGGCTCATTCCGACGCACTTATCCAACGCAGGCCGTAGATAACCATAGATTAATGGAGCCTGGAGACTCGCCGAAGGATAGACGGAGAAGCAAGAGAGAAGGGAGTGAGATAAACGAACGAGAGGGAATGAGAGAACGCGCGATGGAGCGAGAGAGGGTTTACTTCGAAGAAACGGCGACGGAGTCGGAAACGAAAGAGAAGGTAGATCCATAAGAGGGGGCGTTATACCTTGCTATGCGACCCCGCTGATTTATTGTTTATTGAGAAATATGGCCGTTACTTTGCTCCCGAGGATTAACCTCCTTCTTTCTCTCATTCTTAATGTTCGATGGATTCGAACTTAAGGTCGTAAAGAAAGCCATCCACTTCAAACTTTGAATCATCTTCGAAATAGATGTAACAAAAACTACAGCGTTCGAAAAATATAGTCCGTTACAAATATATCGTGAAAATTATGCTCAAAAAATCTTTAATAGTATAATAAAAAAACTTTATGTCGAAAGGACAATGTGACGCGATTTATAAGTGATAAGATTTTGAGAGCAACGCGCGGCCAAGTTGATGGACTTTACTTAATGTAAAGCCAACCCATGGAAAGGATTAGACTGACTAAGCCTGGTAGCAAGTCTGTCTTTCACCCTCTCGCTTGCTTACTCTGTTATACTTGTGTACTCTATCCTTTCTCTCTCTCCGATGCTTCTCTATTCTACACAGATAGACCCGCGATATTCAAGTTATCAAGTGCGTCCGGTCAGAAGGAGACATCGCCGGAAGTCAAACAAGCTGCCCTATGGAAGATAAGGCTGTCAGACCGAGGCTAAAGGATAAGGAAGCTATCAGCTTGTTTAGGCTGAAATTTCGGACGAGGTAAAACTTCGGCGACAAGTTACGCGACGTCATAATCCGTCAACATTTACTTCTAAATAAATCAAGCGAATTTAATGACACGTCAATATTTCGATCTGAGGCAGCCTCTCTTCGTTCATCCTCGCGTCGAAAGGCGCAGTTTCGCAAATACCAACGGAATTCGAAGTTTTCAACGCAAGATTCTGCAACCTAACTCTCGACAAGATCGGATAATTAGACTGCGGTTCGTGCAACTTTGAATTATGCGTGTTCGCGGCCTTATGCCGGAAGACCGAGAACCCTTGAGGGACCAATTTGTTGATTAAGCCTGCCATATATTCAGCTTCTTGTCCTCTATAGATTCTGGGAAAGCATTTTCCAGATAACATCTTATATTATAAACTCTCTAACTTTATACAGGATAAGGGAATTAAATTCTAAGTAAGAATATTTTTGTAAATATATATATTTTAAGAAATTTCGAGTATATATTTATACTGAAATTTTATTAAAAATTAATTATTTTTTCTATTTCAATCTACTTTTTTATTGTTTAATTATATTCTCTATATATCTTATTATTTTCAAAAAATAAATCTTGTAACGATTGGGTCGAGATAATCATATAAGAAATTATACAGAGACTTGAAGATTCAGCCAAGATTGAGATGGACGAATATTTCTCGCAGGATTACACAACCTGTTTTGATATTTTCCGGTCGAGTTACAGGGACGTCAACACCACCGCCGGTATCCCTGTCATCCACAGCGCTCGGCTATGGATCGAGGGCAGCGAGCCTCGCTTTTGAGCGTAAAATTGAATCAACGCTTTTTAAACGTCCCGTACACTTCGTTGTATACATTTCGTTCAATGTTCCCTTGCGTTTGATGCGAAACGAAGATCGTTGACAACACCATACCAAATTGTTGCAAAATTCGCGGCACGTTCGGCCATCATCCAACGATCGGACGTTAAACGTGATTCAACGTGTAATAAAGATAGTTGTTACGAAACTAATTAGCTTAATTAGGATAACGATATAATTAACACCGCAAAATATTTTAAGAAACGTTGCACGAATTTACAACTTCGAATTTCTTAGAAATTAGCGATATTAGGTGTTGTCATCGAAATTTAATCCGATAATTTTCGAATATATATTCCTACACACCTCGACTATAGATCAAGTTCTCTCTCGAGTGCACGCCGACGATAATCCGGGCGGATCCGCTCGGAGTAAAATCACGAGGCCGGTAAACTTACCCGAACGAAACCTTGACAATGCCCGCCGGTCACGACTACATGGACGCGCGCGATGTTAACTTTGCCCCTACCGATCCGACTACGCGCTCCTCGCCAATGCCTCGCCCCGACCAAAGTTCGGCTATGTTACTCCAGAAGCTACGTAACGTTAGGAGAACTTAAGTACTACCCGTAAGTCATATTTAATCCGACTCACCGTGCTCGGCGTGTTCCTGCTGCTGTTACGCAGACCTTCTCCGGGATCGACCCATTGTACCTGCCACGAGCACCTGCGAAAATATATAACACAGAGTGAGAGTGAGTTCAGACAGTTAAATCGAGGATATGATAATGATGGAATTTATATTTATCAAGTAATGTTAACATATATCTAGGAATTCGAGAATTTAATTTATAATAAAGTTAATTTTTATGTTTAGCAAAATTTTTATATTCGCAATGTGTGTGTCGAGATATATAGATAAATTTATTTTTTTTTTTTTTTGCAGTAATTTTCGTAAATAAAATTCACAATAACAGTTCGTATCCTTCGTATTCTGCTAACGTTCGAAGAAAACCAACTATCCGAAATTTCATTCCCCAGCCCATTTCTCGACCCCTCTTCAATTCCACACTGATACATACGCCTACGCAGGTATCCGACAAAACGTCGCCATTGCTACTCGTTACTCGTCAGATCTCGATCTCACTTCGAACTGCGACGTCAATTTGTTTGAAGGAGACGAGAGCCCGCCGGGGCCTTTCTCGCGACTCGTGACGTCGCCGGCGATCCTGGCGAACCGATAAGTACTCGCTCCGGGCGACCGTAGATTTATTGCCGGGCTTGCCGGTCTTCTTCTCGCTATGAGCTACCCCCTTAGACACCCCTTAACCACCCCCGACCGTCAACCTCGTCTCTCAACTTTTGCCCTCGTCCCCGTCTTGTTATGCCACGCAGAGCGATTCGCGGAGCATCTCCCCAACCGACTCGACTTCCGTTTTATTGGCGGAAATAATCTTTGATGTGATTCCGCGCGCCGCGTCTTGAAAGTTTTTTCTATCGTTACGGGGAGCGATGGGTAATCGATTCTCAGGCAAGAAGAAGACATCGTTCAACGTACACGAGATAGACTCGCATAACGCTTAATCGCTCGATGTTCTTATCGCGATGCCATCGTATCAATGCCGCGAGCTCGATGGCATCATAAATGAACAGTCGTTCGAACCAAGCACGGCTGTGCGTATCACCTTCGAGTTTCTGAAAGTGATGTAACTTAATCTCCCAGAACGCAAACTGGTATCGATAAATGTAACGCAGTTTCGAAAGTTTTCACGATTATTTTGATAGCACACTCTCTGATATACCGAATAAATAAATTGTGTAAATATACAGGATGTCAGGATTAAATGTTTTAATTTAAAATATGAATTTAGGACCTCGAAACAAGAAAAACGCTTTGTTTAAGAGATATTGACATCTAAACATTTTGATTATAAAATTTTATGAAATTATTATCAGGTTATAATAAATAAATTAATAGTGTGTTTCAATTACTTTATTATTAGAAAATATGAAAATGTTAGCATAATTATAAATTTTGTTCAATCTTCACTATTAGAATAATATGCGAGGCACAATGATGCTTAGTTTGCGAAAGCGTCGAACAAACTGAGAAAGTTTCTCAGTGATACGTCGATATGGTATTTGTGTACCTTTTTATAATATTGACATGTCAATATTGACATGTACAGTTACAGAAAGTGAAAATGTTAGCATAATTATAAATTTTGTTCAATCTTCACTATTAGAATAATATGCGAGGCACAATGATGCTTAGTTTGCGAAAGCGTCGAACAAACTGAGAAAGTTTCTCAGTGATACGTCGATATGGTGTTTGTGTACCTTTTTATAATGTCAATATTAACATGTACAGTTACAGAAACAAATACGTATTAGCAGTCGTACAATAAATTTATCATTTCTAATTCCTACCCATAACTTTAGATGTAAACAAAGCATTTACGGCCATACCTCCAAACGAAAATTTTTTTTTGTTTTGTGATCCTAAATTCATATTTTAAATTAGAACGTTTAACCCTGAAACACCCTGTATAATATACACATTCTTATTTGCGTATTCAAAATAATTTTTCTCGAAGATATTACGCAATCACACTCAAGGAAATTTATTCTATTTTGATTCATTTCTTAACATGATTACCGCAAATAAAATAAATAGGCGTGTTAGAGTTGAAGAATGTATGTCGCGCATATTTTTTGCTTAATGTCCAAGATTTGCGACAACACCATTATCAGAATTCTGCTGTGTTTTTTAATCAACCAATACTACGGAACAGGTTGAACGCTATTCTCGACCGCGTGAGAGGTACAGAATAGGCACGATTCAACACTCTCCTCGGCTCAACCCCTTCGCCGTAAGTAACAAAGGAACAACGCCAAGTCCCACCGCGGTATCTGCGACCCATCGCTGTCTTAATTTCCTTCGTAATCTACGATATTAATATGGCTTAGGGTTGGCCGACGCGCGTAATTTCGCGCCGCGCAGAAATTAATAGAAAGACGAATGTTCCCTCCGCGTGCTTTACGGCTGAACGCTCGACCGGAATGGTTAATAGCGACGATTTCTGCGCGTTTCCGCGCCCGCTTTGCGAAAACGTGCTCTGCGACCAGCGCAGAAGTGAATGCCATCTCCGAGACAAAGTGTTTCGGCTCTTAAATACAATATTATTCTACGTTGCATTGTACTGTGGTAGACACAGTAATTGATTATAGCACTCATGATATTGAAGCTATTATTTATTAGATAATTATCATTGAAATTGGTCATTAATTATATAATCATTTGTAATTTTTAATCATTAAGTAGATAATTATAAAATAAAAAAATTTTGGGAGACTAATCTTTAGATGTAACCAAATAAACGAAATTATATAATAATTGTATAATTTATAAAATAATACTTGCATCAAAAGCAGAAAACTTTAACTTTTAAGATTTAAATAAATTTCAAGTTTTTCATACGTAATTGATAAATACGTACATCAGATCTGTCAAATGGAGAAGCTTCTCAATCGCATCCGTAATCATTCATGCCGCGGTAACTCTTTCTGACAATATAACGAATCGATTGGCAGCGTATATGATACGATGAACACATGTCTATGGATGATCTATGAATGGAGTCTCAAGCTTTTATTTTCTTTCCATCCCACTTGGCGCGTGGTGGGAGAATGTTTTGCTCGCGAGCAAAAACTAACAACAGATTTGATATATACACATCAAGCGACGCGGTAGCGTCGCTACGCCAAGTACATAAAAAAAGATACTTGGCTTATCAACAGTTTTGTCTATGTATATACAATCTAAATCTCAATAATCCAACATAAAAATTCATCGATGTCTTCTAAGCATATTTTAATTTAAAAATTGAAAATAAGGTCTTTTCGTTTTACAACTTAATATATTACAGAATTAGCCCCTGTATGTATACAATTAAACTAATGAATATTGAGTTTGTTTACTAAGTAATCAAGTAATTAGTAATTATGGTTATTTAATAATCAGTAATCATAGTTAATGAGTAATGGAAATAATGAAAACTATTAATTAATCATCGGTCTTGATTAAATTATTAATTATTAAATGATAATATCTTGTAATTAATTCGAAAAAAATTAAGAATGTTTAAAAAAATATACTATCGAATTTTATAAATTAATTTTCTCGTTCGAATTTTCTTAAAAATTCCATAACTCGATTGCAACAAGAATATAAATAAATGGAGTTGTTACAGAACTCTTGAGACATTTTCAATCTTGCTAAATACGTTACGGCATCGACTCATGAGTCAATGCGGAGCTTTGCCTTATTCAAAATGACATACGCAAGATGACACGTTCCCCGGCGCATATCTTGTTCAAACGTCGCCTCGCTCGCGATAGCGACGCGGAAGTCCTCGAGCATCCGTCCATCGTTCGCGCATGCGATCGCACATCGGACAATGAGACGTGATTCGAGACGGCGGCGCCCCGCTGCTATGTGTTATCGAGTGGCATTCCGACACGCTTCTGGAGTGACATTTAGATAGCGACGTCAACTGTCTGCGGAGCAAATCCGTCGTGGAAGCGCGAAGGCTCTCCTCCTTGGTACCTTCCCCGGAAGCCTGACGGCGAGAGCCCTCGCCACCGGAGCGAGCGAATTCACTGCTGATCGAATTAGCGCGCCACGGTTCCCCGATACCCTGACAGTCTGAATTAATTAACAGGAGAACGCGCTAGGTAAGCAGCCATTATCGCAACAAAGTGTACGCGTCGCGCGACAGAACGAGCGAGATGTGACTATTCAGTGATGCAATCGTAAACACCAATCGCGATAAACGCGTGAAAATTAAATCATTCTGTCATTTATTGAGAAAACCAAACACAATTATTTTTTTGCCAACGAATCTACGGTTTGTATAACGCATAATAAGTCTATAAATTTTAATTTAATATTATATAAGAAATATTAAAAAACACGATGATTTTTTACATTTGTATGCAAAAAAACTATTATCCCATCAATTTGCCATAAAATCTTTTAAATATTTTTTTTTTTTTTTACTTACCAGTTAAATCATGATATCGAGATGAATAAAGAAAATTTCGCGATTCCAAGACAAACGCAAAATAGAGTTACGCGCGCGGCGAGAGTTTTGCATCTCTTGTCGCGACGCGACGTCTTGACTCTCCATTAACTTCACACTTAGCGGCACCTTAGAAAGCCCGTTGCCGGCGGAAGATCTGATTAGGGGTTCGAGTCTCTGCTAAACGCGTTAGTCTCGGCTGCGGGGCGTCGCGGGAGAGGACGGGGACGCGGCGCCATCAGGTGTTAGAGCGGCGGCCTCGGGAATAGGCAGGAGGAAGGGACCTTCGGTGGTGTCTGTCTCTTCATAGTTTGATGCAAATTGAGCACGAGCACCACCAACTACCGGCAGTATAGACGTTTTCCTGGTTCTCTCCTCCTCCTATATCTACATACAAACTCGCGTACACACTTATATACATCTATCTGCCTCGATCTAGACCTCGATCTCTCCCTTTCTCTCGCCTCTTCTCTTTGCTCTCTCTCTCTCTCTCTCTCTCTCTCTTTGTCCTCGGAGAAGACTCCACGATCGAATACGAAATTCATTCCGCGCGACCCTCTTCGGCTTCAAGCAAACCTCCACCTTCCCCACCGATCTTGACTACCGCCGAAGTGTTGCCGTTTGGGGCTTCCCGTCCCATATTGCGGAGCTCGCACTGTTTGCCAACGAATCTCGGAGGCTTTCTCTCGACTTAACAGCGATAGAAACGCGTCGCGGAAAACATTTAACGGTTAACCAACGACATTATCATTCTTTGATTTCTGAAATGTGCTATAATTTTATTCAGAAATCGACATTTCTAAACTTGAAAAAATATATAAAGAAACTATCGCGTTTTATAAATTTTATAAATAGAAAAATAATCGCTATATAAAAAAATTATTTATTTCAATAAAATCGATAATTCTTAACTGTGCGATATATTATAAATATTATATCACCATCATTTATTTTTTTTTCGTTAAATATAATATTATTCAATAATGTTATTTACTTATCTTTTTGTCATTTAAATATAATAATTATTGTAAATTGCGTTCAATTTTTTCTAATCCGCTTTGATTTAAATAAAGCCTCCCGAAGGATATCTTTGACTTTTAGTGCGAGCCAAAATATGAAGACGATATTAAGCTACAGAAATAACCGGCGATACTAATGTCTGGAACGTTTAGCCTTACAGATTAGAGAGACAGCATTTATCGGCAAATATAGCGCATATCTAGACGCGAAATCACGATACCATTATAAAGGATCGTTCTTTCCTGTCATTCTGTCGACTCCTCCTCCTCTTTCTCCTCTCGCACCTACGCTCTGTAATGTTCCTTTTTATGGTGCATGATTCGAAGCTGCCCCCGGGATCGATTTTGCTTCGTAGCACGGTACTTATCGTACACCGTTACGAGGGCGCGTTGCTTTTTATGGTGGTTCATGCTAGATGTTCCGATCGACACACGTTTGCCTCTCTTTCTCGCTCTTTCTTTGCCCATTTTCATTTTCTGTTCCTCTTATTCCCGTGGAAACAAGATATCTGCACGATACCGTGTCAAAAATCATACTTATCCAAATGGACTTTTTTACAAATAGATTGACTGATGAAAATTATTCGTTGATAAAATCGAGAAGAGTATGATGAAGGATACTAAATTAAAACGTTACATGCTTTTCTCACGATGCATGAAAATTTTATTATTCACTATAAAATTAACTCAATCATTGAATTGATAAGTGAAATTGATTGTAGATATTAAACCTGTTTGTACGAAACTGCTAATATATCTCGAATTTCCAATGTGTCCTGATTTACAATGAGAGAAGTATATTTATATATTACGATACTCTCCGGTCATATATCGATCAAGACGTCGCGGTTTCATATACCGATCGGAGAGATATTTTAAGTTCAATTATACTACAGCCAATCAGACTGAATATATGATTATCGCTCGCTATTTCGAATCTCTTATCGCAACTGTATTTCTGAATCAACGAGAATCTTTAATGGTGATGAAAATAAAATCAAAGTCATGCGATCACCGGCTTCGAACATTAATGAAAATCCGTAACTTCTATTTACATATACTATATAGAGCAGAATTTATAAATTCGAGAACTCATTCAATTTAAACTGTTTTTCATTTGTATCGGATATTATAAATAATTTCTTCTATTGCTGTATTAAATATACATTTTTTTAAAAAAAATGTCTAGACGTTTATTCATCAACTATTTCACTAAAAAATTAATTGTTAAAAAAGATAAACGTTAAACACACATAAGACTTACATATAGTCCTTGTTTTGGCATTTATATATATTCGATATGAAAAAAAAAATCTCATCTCGAAAAAGTTTCATTTATTTCGCGCATTAGTCTCATCGAGTGACGCAAATTACGCGACCACATTCTCAAGAACACATCGCTGAATCTACTAAAAAAAAATGCAGATTTCGTGGGATATGGGCGGCGTACGTTGTAGAATCTCATTGCGATTTCATGGTCCTCTCGAAAGGAGACGACGTCGGCCAACCGACTCGTTTCGAATGCTACAAATGTGCCGCGCGCGAACGTTCGCATTCAGGTGGCTCGAGTAGGTGGTGAAAAAAATCACGTCTGCATTTACATAAGCGCCGGTATAAACCACTCGACAGAGAAATCCCGACATAAAACCCAAACAGGATACCAGTGCGGGACAGCACATCCGTTGAATACGCAATGGCCGTATGTAGCCGGTGTACGTACATACACACACCCGCCTGCCCCCTTACCGAAAAATGCTTTTATTATTCACCGGTGAATTACGTACGCGACACTGTATACGTTTTATCCCGCCGTTTATGCTGACGTAGAGTTTACACGGCTCATTGACGACGTCTTCGAGAAAAAAAAAAGAAAATCGCCCATTTCGTCAATATTAAAGCGCATTCCTTTCTTTTGTGGATATTCCCATCGATTTTATCATCATAAAATTCTGAACTTTTTTTAAACACTTAACGACCACGGTCACATCGTGTATAAGGGTACTTATATATGTTTTATTACACTGTACATGTATATTAACTCACGCGATGACGTTGACTTATAATATATAAAAAATATTTAGCATACACTTCTTTTATCAGGTTACTAAAAATAGAGGAATAATATAAAATTAAAGATAACGCGCGATACGAATTGCACTTGAGAAATAAAATAACAGAGGGTCGATTCTCTCTCAACGATTTACATTTACACTAATGATATCCGAAGAATCCGACGTGTCCCAAAAACGACTTGAAGTCTTTGCGAGTCCTTCTGTAAGACAAATCGCGCGAACACGCCCGTCATATCGCGATCGATATAACGCGCTACGCGGTATAAGGTCCAGAGAGTGATGTTCCCAGCGCCTGACGAGAATTTTCAAGTCCCGTGGATCATGGCAAAACGATTTTCGTGTCCCTCGTGGATCTTCGATCCATCGTACGCGGTAGAACAGGTCGGCTGCCCTTACGAGCCCGATTTCATGGCTCTTTAGCATTTCCGGGCGTAACGTCCTTTATGCGGGCGCCGGAAAGGGCGCGGGAGAGAAAAAATTGACTTTTAAACCGGCAATAAAAAGGAAAAATGTGAAATCTTTGATTTTAAAGGCCCCGCCGACCCGCCCCTCGCGGGAGCGACAGTTGGTCGATGCGTATAACCCTCGCAGTGGCAATCTTATTTCTTCCGATATCGCAAGCCGAGCACGTTCGGTACCTCGTCGCCATCCCGAAATCCGCGTGCAGCGGTATGTATATCGTGTCGGATTACTCCAAAATCCCGGACTTTTATACGCTGAATTTTAAAATACACTTCGGTGCTGTCTCTGATTTTTCATTCGTCCGGAAATAGACAGACGTCAACTTACTAACATTTGTCTGATATATGTATGTATAAGACTGTATTCATATATATTAATAAATAATATTATTTGAGATTTATTATCAAGTAAAAAAAAGAGAAAAGTCAGGGTGTCATCAAATCATGTGTCGATACGTTTGTAGAGAAAAAGAAGAAAGTAAAAGCGAGAAAATTGAAGAAACTTCCAATTCACGGTAATCCGAGTACGATGTCTGCGAATCGACTGAAAATTTACATTTAAAAGTCTTGGAAGACGCTAGAAGAAGCGGAAAAGGGGCGGCATTTCGCCGCTTGTTTTTATTTTCTAGCAATTTCCTCGGCGAAGCAGAACGGAAAGTGACCTTAAAGGGAATTAGCACGCTTTACCGTCTCTACCTACCTCGCACAACTCTTAAACGAAATTTCTTCCCGTCTCTTTGCCACTTTTAAACACTATGAATCAACGCGATAACGATTGTCATCGTTTAGTCTAACAATTTTATTAAAAACTCTACATAGTTTTTTACAAATATTATAATATAATATATATATTATATTTAATATATTATATATATTATATATAATATATTTTCTATTATATTATAATTTAGCAGAAATTTTATTTTTTCGATTTTAATAACATAGCACGAATGTAACGCGATAAAATTTATTTCTGATTGCAGATTTTGCGTGGGCGACAGATTTTACCTCTGTGATAACAAGATTCTCTGCGAATACGATTATGAGGAGAGGCTGGTTTTCGCCAACATGGCTCTGCATCCTCCGCCTACTGCGACCTTGGCGCACATCAAGAGACAAGTGACCCATCTTCAGCCACCTCAGGTGAAGAGAATTTACAGTTGTCTCTATTATCAACGAAACTTGCGCGCGATAACTCGTAGGTTCATGTAGTTTAGAATATATCTATCGATCAATAGACATATTTTCGTTATGAAATATCTATACGAGGTAAAGTGCAGAGTGCACATCTAGTGAAATCTCATCTCTGGACCGTGACCATCGGGTTTCAAACTCGCAAGGTTTCAAACTCCTCAAGGCGCAACCCCCTTAAGGCGGGTTAAAGTGGCAGGTCGCTCGTCCTGACCCTCTCGACAACAAAGGACTCCCCCGAGGCTTCAGCTATGCTTTACCATCCTGCCATCGTCTTACGAGTTAGGATATCGCGTGTCCTTATTAATTAAGCTCGCCCGTTAAGCAAGCCTCGTCGCATGCCTTAACGATTATTCGCCCGTTCTCCGTCGAAGACGGAACGTGCGAAAGAATTTACTCTTCGTAAAGATCGTTAGGCTTCCAAGAGCTATTTCGTGCAAATACGAAGCTCTGGAAAATCATTACCCCTTTTTTATAATTGTAAATCTTTGATCAATCGCGATATACATATATCGCAAATATAAAAATATTTCAAAAACTTTTAAATGTAAAATATCTTGAAAAATAATAAAAAAAAAGGAAAGAAAAAAAGACGTTGCAAAATTTAATTCAAATTTAAATTTGATTCTTATTTGTTTTAAATTGTAAGAAGGATGTCATTTAATTAAATAATTTGAATTAAATAATTGAAGTAAAAACAGATCGTAAAATCGTGATAATAAAAGACAAATGACAAGCGATGAAGAGATGGCGATTTTCATAGAGTAGAAACGTCCAGAATTATGAACTCATCGGCGTTAAGCTTGTTGGGATTAAGTTCTCTTGATTATCCTAAGGCAACAGTCTTGCTTCGAAACAATATCTTAAGCTCCTGCCGCACGAAGGACCACGTCCTACTCGACCCTAGGAAGCCTATCTGTTTAATCCGGGTGCCGTCTTGCAAGACTCCCGCCGTCTTCCTTGTATAATGTGACGTCATGTATTCTAATTCGCGATATTTTCTTAAATATAATGATTTGAATAATCCAGAATAAAAAAGATTTAAAAAAACTGTATCCTCTATTACGATATTAATATTTACTATTGTATTTTAAATATATTTGAAATTATAAATAAAAGTCTAAGTATATGTAATTTTTTAACTGTGAAAATTTAAAACGAGTTTCTTTTAAAACGACAAAATTGAGTATTTAGAACTGGGTCATCGTTACTAAGAATATCGTTTGCAGTTATTTCCGTTGTTAAAAGATCGTTAAAAGTCCGCGATAAAATAGTCAACGCAAAAGTTGGAAAACATTTTCAGGAACGTCTCAGAGAGGCGGTCTAAGACTATAGATGCTTGCCGCACGCTCGAATTGTACGCATGCACAGAATAACGAGGTCCCCAGCCCGATGATATCATGCTCGGTAACGTGTACTACTTATAATATGCAAATTCGCTCCCCTTAACCGCTCTCGCCGGCGAGCTGCGTGTAATTCAGGGGTTGGTAACCCTTGCGACTCTATTCCTGCGCGCCACGTAAGCGTCGGGCGCTCTTCCACGACCGTGCGTGCGTGCGTGCGTGCGTGCGTGCGTGTACATGTCGTTTATAATGTTTAAAGAAATATCGGCTCGCGTGAACGGGCGTGTTAGCATGTAAACATTTTTCAAGGACACTCACACGCGCGCGTAAATCTCCCTTGGCGAGGTCGAACGGGGTGTCTCACTCGAGACTTTAAAATTCGTAAAGTCTCTCGACACCGAACGCAATGTGTCACTTTAATTAATACGAGATATTTTTTTGCCCGACACGAGGGAAATCAAATTTGTTTTTTCGCTGTAAATTTCTGGCATCGTCAACAATCGGGAAAAATTGGCACGTCCGCGATGTATTCCGCGATATTGCGCGATCCAGCAGCTTTCACACGCAATATCGATTCGCTCGGAGGGTTTACGGGTTATAAATGACCGGTGTGCGAAATAACGGGATGGCAGACTAATGCCAATAATCGGCGTGGCATGCTAATGTCGTCTGCGCATCTATTACGCTAAGCCTGATGGATCCCTCTTGACATCTCGTTCCTAGAGCGTGAATACCTTCGATCGCGGAGAGCACTCAAGATGTCTATCATTTTGTTAACTAACATAAAGGTCATTTAACATTTGGTAATTAAATAAAAGAAATTAACACGTACATTGCTCACTTTTGCCTCAATTACTTTTGCCGCAAATATATCTTGTATAAATAAATAATCGAAATATTAAACGACAGCAATGAGTTATAATAAAATCAATAATGATATTTTTTTAATGTAAAAAACAATTCCATAAACCGGAAATGTTAGACGCCCATTAGATTTAACATTCTGATAAAGCGCGATAAAACGCAAAGATGAAATTGAGAATACCTATAAAATGTAAGAAGAGAGAAACAGAGAGAGGAGATATAAAGGGAGAAAGGAGAAAAGGCGTTAAGATTCTTAAAAACCGCAAAGAGGGTGCTCGTCCTAGAGGCAGCTGCCACCCTTGTACTCTCCTTAAGCCCGTCGGAGGCAGCGAAGTACCGTCGACGGAAGGTGGAAAAGGGGGCGGTAGTTTTTTTGATTGCCTGAGAACAGACAGCTGTCCCAATCTTTCTTAGCCCTGGGAGGATCTACCGCGTTTCTTGCGAATAATGCCGGGAAGTGTTGCTTACGAATAACTCGAGTATGCCTGATCCGAGGTAAATCGAGGGTGGGGAGGATGAAGGAATGAAAAGAAGCGACGGGACTGAACCGCCTTTAGCCGTCAGCATCGACAATCGAGCTGTCTCGATGAATACGGATGACGGATCGTTTCTGATATTATCGTTGGCCCATTGAAACTTTATCATATATTATAGGGACTATTTTAAAATTAATTGTTTTGCTACTGTTACGCGACACAATAAGATTTTTAATCCAATAAACATAATTGTTTTCATATAAATAAAAAATTAATTTTATATAATAATCGAAAAATAATTTTAAATTAAAAAAATTAAGAAGACACTGTTCATGTCATAAAAAGAAGATCAATTTCATACATATAAAAGACAATGTCGCAATTCTATAAATAGTAACAACAACAAAAAGACTTATGAAGCTTTAGCTTCATTTCTCGAGGAGGACTTTCGATCGAACCGTGCAATCTCATCCTCCTTAGAGACAAGTGTAACGCGCTTAAAAATTGGCGAGAACTTTTATTTCAGTCTAATTTTCCCCTCGGGATTCGGCGGAATGATAAGAGAGAAGAGAAGGGGGTTGAAAGGGGAAACGTTAGTGGGGGATATAGACACGGAGTAAGAATGAGAAAGAGAAAGACACGACGAGAGAGTTTGGAACGATTATCTGAGTTTTAAAACAAACTCTCGAGTGTCTGCGAAGTCCTTCGCGAAGCAAAGGGAAGAGGAAGACCAAGGTGCCAGAAAGAGGTTGAAAGACGCGATGAAGGGAAGAGGGAGTTGCGGAGGTGAGATAATATGCTAATGCCAAGACGGAAGGTACATGGGAATTTAAGAGGATCAATGCACAGTACGAGATTCGTACGGGGAATAAGGCATTACAACGTCCTCTATATTGCTTCCAGGCGATTAGATTCGTGAAAGTTTGTCGAATGCGAGCGACTAATTTCGGCGAAATTAAACTTTCGGTTTAACGTCACTTTTATTGAATCTGAGTGTTCAATATCCATTTGTTTAAGAATGACAACAAATGCGTTACGGACGTATCGAATTCATAAAGATAAATCACAAGAAAGTTGAAGATCCTATATCTATATAAAGTAAAAATCTTTTTTCATCTAATTTCCTATTTTATTTGTTTATACTTTTCTTAATGTAATTATGTAACATGAACCTTCTTACATATATTAATATAAATAAGTAAATAAAACAATTAATTAAAATTAAATTTATTATAACATCACGAACTTATTAAAAAATGGATTGTATTAGTTAAAGATTTATAATTGCAAAATATATAAGAAGTGTTTATACGATTTTCATTGTTGATATTGCATTAATTGTACGCGATTGGTTTAAAATAGCTATTTTGATATGAATGAAAGACTTAGGAATTCATATAATGTATGCATTAGAATATCCGAATAGAATGTGTCAGAATAGGATATGATACCATTAATAATAATTAATGTAGCGCACGGTTAATCCCTCGAAATGTAGCGTTTAGCGAAATGGACGTACATCATCGTAATGCAGTACTATATAGGACTACGAGCGTATTCCCACACTGAACAAAGCCATTAGTCCATCATTAATCCTTCATTGTAGATACTCTATCGTTGTGCATGCGAATACGATCTGTTTAGAATTACATCAGAGGATGTCATGGAAATTACACAAAACGAGCATATATATTATTCTCTATCTATATATATATAATTAAATATAAAATATATTAAAAAATAAAAAAAAAATTATCGCTCGAGAGAAGAAAGATTATCGCGAAATCTCGAAAATGTTGTGGTCAAAATGTTTTCTACGCGTAACAAACGGCCTCTGATCGATCATCGATCGATCAGCTGATTAGATTGCCTGGTTAGTCGACGTAACACAAGTTGTGTCGTGACAGGAAGAGGGAGAGAGAAAGAAAGAGAGAGAGAGAGAGCAAAGGAGAGGGAGAGAGACATAAGCACGTACACACGAGCCCTCGCACGCGCGTGTACACGTCGTTCTTGTTAACGAGCGCATTATTAGGTGCACCGTGCTTGGCTGAATTTCACGTAAAGCCTCCGCGCGGCCCCTTATATTGTACAACGCGCGCGTCCCGAGAAAGCTCGCATGGGAAAGCCCGGCTTGCGAGCTTATGCGAGATTATGAGTTTAGTTGGGAAACAACTTGGAGAGAGCTATGTGCTACGTGGCCAAGAGCTTACTTTTGTAATGATTATTACCAACGACCATGGACAGTCGCAAGGACTCGATCATGCGACCGAGCTTGCGCTTCAAAAATGAATTTTAATATAAAACTTGATATTATTCTATCAAGATGCATTTAGCGTCGTAAAATAAAACCGTGTATAAAGAAAAACGGTGTCCAATCACAAATTTGCATTATAAAAATTAAAATTGATCAAAGAATCTAAGTGTGATTGGTTAGTTTTTCCTCTACATTATTTTTTCTCACAGAAAAGAAAACAAAGTATTAATAAATCTTTTTTCTCCGGAGGAAAGAATCAGATCGAAGATGGCCGCGAGCCGGGCTAACGACCCGCCAGTAAATTCCGTTTCCAAACGATCCCGGGGCGATTAACGACGTCTCGCTCTAATTCTCATCTCGTGCCGGAGATCGGACCATGAGCGTGGGTGGCGCTAATTTTTGCGCGTAAGAAAAGCCGCGCCGCGAGCGGAGAAACGGGACGCGTACACCTGGCCGTTTCCCATCCGCGGGAGATCAACGGACAAATGACACGCGATTCTCCCTGGCAAACCCCTCGCGCGTTGGCGATGTTCCGCATTTACCGTCAGTTACAAACTACCCGACCCCGCTTTACCACCCTCACGCCGAGTCACGATTAATGTCTTACTCGCGCGAGCGAGATCCTCTCGAGAGGAAAGAAAAAACCGGGAGATTTTCCGCGACAGATGAGAAGACCGAATAAACGCGAAAGAAATTGCTCGTGACTATCATATGCAACACGAAAATTCATTATTCCATTAATAATTTGGCGCGAGATATTAATTATGTCGTTAAAGTTATCTTTCAAACAGTTACAAAATTTCTAATAGTTATAAACAACAATCAAATAAAAATATGTGTTTGACTTTGGAGAAGGATTATTCCAGATGCCTTTATATGCACACTCGTATAGCATCCTATCTACATAACGAATATCGTAAAACGCGTGCCGTTTGATTACGATGTCGGCAGTAAATCCACAACTCGGTAATTCCTTCTCTGGCAATTGTAGATAAAACTTGAATAAGTCATAGACTTAATTTAACCCATAGTAGCGTTCAACGGCGGTCTGGAGCCTTCCACGGAGATTTCTTAATTACGAGCGGGACTCTCTGAGACAAGAGGGCACAAGAATAGAAAGAGAAGGGAAAATCCGGTATACACGTATACCAAAAGACGAAAACGTAAAATGAGAAAGAGAGACAGAGAGAAAGGGACAAAAGTCCTGCTGGGGAAAAGGGTTCTCACGGCGATGAGATTTAAGGATCCTTCCCAAAAAAAAAAGTCGCCCTCGTCGCGGAGACAGATGATAAAGCATTTCTCTAGCAGCGCTTTGTCATTTTTATCGTAATTATTTACGAGTTAATTACTCCGCAACCGCACCCTGCTAGCTACACTTTTTTTACATTAGAATGAAAAAAATGCTTTATTAAGACATCAAAAGAGATAACACCTTTCATAGCGATCCCGTGACAGATCTGCGCTTTCATTCTTATTTTCCCGTTGCATACGGCGAGAAACAAAAAAGCGAAATAAAATAAGGAAAAGTTAAATAGACAGACAATTTATTTGTTCCAATAATAAATTACGTTGTAATCTATTCTTGCATTCTTTGAAAACAAAAAACATATTGTAATTAAAATCGATTCGTTCGTTGCGTCGCAATGTATTCCAAGACTTTCCAAGACGCGGGATAATTGCCGAAAATGGAGGCTTAATTCGGCGCCGTGCGAAAGTTAGTATGATCAACTTACGGGCCGAAATCGTGACGAGGGAGGATCTCGTCACGAGGGGCTGAGCCGCACGGTCTGCCGAATTTTAAGCCTGTATAATTTAACACCTTTACTGCAGAAACTAAGAGAAACTGAAGGGAAAGACGCGGGGAGAGGCGGAAGGAGAGGCACGCGTGTTCGCGAGAAAGCATGAGACGACGACGACGAAGGTTGTAAAAGACGAAGAGAAAGCGGGATCGGTTGGATAAGACGAAGGAGGGGGTGAATGGAGGGAGACAGGGAGAGAGGGATATAAAGTTCGAAGTTTTCAACGACGCTTACCTAGCCTAGTACAGCCTCCGCCTCTCCCACGAGTTCTCTGTACCATCAGCGCATAAATATGGCCACCAGAGAGATAGAGACGGAGATGGATAAAGAATCGGTCGCAAGAACAAGAAAGAGGGAACCGCCAAAGTTGAGTCGTCCCGTCCCTCCTTTTTACCCGGGCACTGAGATACAAGTTCATTCCTCCGGCCTTTTGTTTTTGAAGCGGAGTCTTAGATGGTACATTAGAAAGGGAGATGAGCGGAGAGAGGGAGGAAAAGAAAGAGAGAGAGAGAGAGAAGGAGAGAGAGAGAGATATGCGAATTCGTTGGCGTTGTCAACCCTTTAAGAACGGAAGCCCGCGACGGATTTCATGTGCCGCGTCGTGAATAATTGTTGAAATCGAATTACGAAGCGATCGATCGACCGCTTTTATTCCTGAATTCCATAAATTGCCCTCTAACCGGATTAAATTCTTCAGAATTACAGATTCGCATCTTCCGATATGTCTTTTGATATATGTATATTGAAGGATTTTTAATAAATGAATTTCGGGAATAAATTGAACGTAATTTTTATATAACCGATGTTTTTTTTACTCGATTAAATGCAATCCGAAAAGAAATCGATAGAATCGATAAAGGTTACCTCTAAAACAGATTAAATATATTTTATACACAACTGTTATATAAAAGATTAAAATCAATTTCAATGAATATGAAATGTTGCATGTTTTCTTTATAAACACGTGTCAATATCAGTGGCATGATTAAATTAACAGTTAAATTAATAATTAAAATAATATTTATATTTCTATATCAATATTTATTTATATTTAATTAATAATAATTTATTCCCCTTTTCCTCCAGAAAAAGTAAGTATATAGAATGTGTTATTAAAGAAATATTTATTTTTGTTTAACGCGGTGCCTCAAATATGCCTATAAGAAACTTTAAATAAGAAACCTTCACAGACATTTTAAATAATTCTTTTTCGGGAAGATCATTGATCGAACTAAATTGCAAAAGATAACCGACGTGTCTTTTTTCACTTTACAAACCATAGTGACATATCATTTGCAATATATTGTTTAACGATAACTATGGTTAATTAAAACTTGTTTCTCAATCTATGTTACAGTTAGTTATAATCTAGACAAGGACACACGAATCACACTAACCAGAATTTGTTAACTAAGGCGGTCAGTACGAATCACCTTCAGTGGTATATCACTCGCATTGATATAAATCACATAGTGTTGCAATTAATTTTCGAGAAAAATTTAAAAGAAAAAAAACGTGCGTATATAAGATTAATAGAAAAATACGAAATACATGCTGTTTTTCGCGGCGATATTGCTCGACGGCACTTTATAAAGGACGTGCGTGCATCCGGTGGCATAAATTTTCCGCTAAGTCGAGATCGTTCGATCAGGACCGAATTGAAAGAGAAAACCGATCCGTACACATCCGAATATCGTATATCGACGGTGTGTAATCCTCACGCGTCTTCTTTTATCTTGCAGAACGTAGCCGCGGGTGGCCCTCAACGACAGGCGAACGGGGAAGCGGCCCATAACCACAACGGATATCCAGCGCCAGCCAGCTCGAGCGCCCATAACGTCCTGAACCCCATGAATAATTTAAACGGTATCAATGCGCAAGCATCGTACGATGCCAAATGACAAACGAAGTAAGCACCGATATATCGATTGAGTCGCGCGATGGGGGAAGGGACGACTCGTGGAATCTCGTGTCGTTCTCATTGTCTTCGTGGTTTACCATGTCGATCGTTCAAACCCGTAATTTTAGCATGTAACTTGCGGCAAATTGCGCGTATAATCGAATATCCCTTAACTATCGAAAGATAAGATCGTTAAATTATCGATATCGTGCAAACGATGATAGGAAAGGTGTTACCGCGCATAAATATATATTCGCATTATATTATATATTTCGCACGGGTCGCTTCTCGTCGCGAATTAGACGAAGTTGAATTCTCGTGTAAATAAAGAAGAAAAAATATGATAATGTGTCAGCGAAGAGCGACGTGAATAAGCGGCGTAGGAGTATGTATAATTAAAAAAATATAAAACGGATAACACAAGGACATATCGCGACGTTTTGTTAAAAGAGGAACAGGTATATAAAATTTCCTAAAACTGACAAAATTGCGGAGCAACTATATCTCCTAATATGTCATCTTGTATATCATTTGACAAATGTGTATTTTCCAGACGAATTATTATTCCGTCTTTGAATATAGATTCTCCAATACAAGATAGAACGTGAGGGAAGAATATATAAATCCGAAATGTGTTTTTCGTTCTCTCACTTAATTAGATTCATATATCTGAGACCTCGAATGGACTCGTCTTCCCCACGCTCGACTGGCTAGACGATAAATAAGTAGATAGATAAATAGATAAGTAGATAGTAGATAGATAACAAACATCTATTGGCCAATTATGGCAAATTATTGGTGCTCTTTAGATTATAATTGATCGAGTGTTTGCGCGATCCAGTTTAAACAAATAAAAAAACCGCTAAAACAAATTACTAAGAAAAAATAAAAAAATAAAAATAAAAAAAAACAGAAATATAAGACCTGCATGAAAATTTATGGACTAGAAAAATATATCGCGACTTCTTCCGGATTTATTCGCTTTCACAAAATCCTCATATTGACGTTTATCCACTTCCGGCCGGTCCAAGATATCTTTAACAACAGCCGTGTCATACGAGAAGCCCGAAACTTCGGGGTAGTAATAAAGTTTAGTGTCTAACGTTTAATGCTCGCCTCGCCTAGGGCGGCATCTCGGTGAGATGGTACGCAGGATGACCCTTGGTAGGTCCTGCCGAACGAAGGCGAGCATCGGGAATCAGCAGATCGAATCGGCGGGTTTCGAGAGAGAGAAGCAATGCAAGCAGCAACTGCTCGCCACCCCATGGGACTCATACGTTAAGGGTGACTTAAGCATTGTTTCAACTTCGAATCTCCCGGCAGAGGCCCAGATTGATGTCGCGAACTTTTCCGTTGCCTTATTTGCGAGTCAGATAACGAGGCTGAGTTATGCCAAAAGTTCTCTCTCGCGCTCTCCTTCTCTCTCTCCGGCCCGGTCCATGCTGATCGTATCGGATCACGAAGAATACCCGTAGTCGGGAAGAATGTTTTATTTCCTCCCTTAGCTCTTCGGGGATTCATCGTCGATGCCAAAAGTACCTATGTCGAGCGATAATAGGCTAGCAGCTGCGTCGGAAAACTGCTGAAGACTCAGAGACGCGACCTTCACGATTTCTCTCCGGCCGCAATAACGAGGTAATGAGAAAAAGCTTTGAACCTTGCGATTAGTGAAGGGTGGCAATAATTAATTGTTGATTATCAATGGCAAAAGAGAGTTTAAGAAATAAATATTAGAATCATATTACGCGAAGCTAACTGAAATCAACTGTGAATCCATTGTTAATAAATTACATACAAATATTTTTTTATATGTTTGTGTTATAATTTTATGCAAATTAAATATAAATACATTGTTTCGTCAATATTTCTTATATATGGTACTTTCTTATACTTTTGTAATATTTTGTTTTATATTCACAAATATTCAAAGTGTGTATGTATATAAAAATGACGATAGCAATTTTAAATTATGATAAATAACATGCATCATATGCATAATTAATAACGAGTGCCAATTACTAGCGCACCTTTCTCTCGACTTCACGAGTAAAAACATCGTATAAGCATACTATTCCTTCAATCTATCAAATCACATAGAATTGATAATCTCGATTTGACTGTTTCATACTAAAATACGACAAGTTCTTATGCTTACATTCATCGAGCGCATTAAAGTCGCCTGACTGAACTAAAGGACATGATTCCTTTTGACATTGAAATATATTCCAACGACTGTAAATATTAATTCTCTCGCAAAATATGTGACGATTCCAGCATAGTTCCTAACGCGAAACTTCGTCTTCGACGAAGCAACTACGATCACTAAACAAATATTTATACCGTACTTATGCGACTATCAAATGAATATTTAACAGGACACAGCCAGTGCGAATAATACCGGACACTTTTGTACATTGTATTCTACGGTATCGCTATCTAAATCCCGCATAAATCATGGGCAGCATTATATATATATCCAATACTGATTATGTGCACTTGGATCACGACGTACGAAAGAACCGAGATTAATTAATTAAGAAAGTGTGTATGCGTTTACTAGTTTTATATGTTTGTGTTATAATTTTATGCAAATTAAATATAAATACATTGTTTCGTCAATATTTCTTATATATGGTACTTTCTTATACTTTTGTAATATTTTGTTTTATATTCACAAATATTCAAAGTGTGTATGTATATAAAAATGACGATAGCAATTTTAAATTATGATAAATAACATGCATCATATGCATAATTAATAACGAGTGCCAATTACTAGCGCACCTTTCTCTCGACTTCACGAGTAAAAACATCGTATAAGCATACTATTCCTTCAATCTATCAAATCACATAGAATTGATAATCTCGATTTGACTGTTTCATACTAAAATACGACAAGTTCTTATGCTTACATTCATCGAGCGCATTAAAGTCGCCTGACTGAACTAAAGGACATGATTCCTTTTGACATTGAAATATATTCCAACGACTGTAAATATTAATTCTCTCGCAAAATATGTGACGATTCCAGCATAGTTCCTAACGCGAAACTTCGTCTTCGACGAAGCAACTACGATCACTAAACAAATATTTATACCGTACTTATGCGACTATCAAATGAATATTTAACAGGACACAGCCAGTGCGAATAATACCGGACACTTTTGTACATTGTATTCTACGGTATCGCTATCTAAATCCCGCATAAATCATGGGCAGCATTATATATATCCAATACTGATTATGTGCGCTTGGATCACGACGTACGAAAGAACCGAGATTAATTAATTAAGAAAGTGTGTATGCGTTTACTAGTATAGATACGTTTTGTATTATAATTCTATCATAGAAGTATTAATAAATTTGTTTCGATGTTATGCAACAGTGGTAATTGTGAATCGTATATATCTATAAGTCGTTATTTTTCTTAAACTGAATCAGTGAAAATATCATTGATTAAAGCGATACAAAATTTCAGCAAAGAATAGTGAATATTATGTCCCATTTATGGCAATAAGTTTCGCTTAAGAATCAGTAATAATCATATTTGCAAGCTATAGTTTTCAATGAATATTTTTTTAGAAGCCCTCGTTAACATATTTAATATAAAATACATAACTAATATTTAAAAAATTCAGAATTATATTACACTTTTTCACTTTTAAAATGTAATAAACTCATAAAAAATAGACAAAACTCTTGGTCAAATTACTTATTATTAACTGATTCTTCCAGAATGATATTACACTAGAGATACTTACAGTGCTATACCTATAACTGAAACCATCAGTGACTATTTACTGCTTTTCAGTGATAATACACTGATACCATTTCAACGTGAAAAAAAGAACTGCCACCGCTTCTGCTTTTTCTTAAAAGTTTATGTTTATGTTTCTATCGTGCCCGCGAGTGCGCGCGATATTGATTCGCGACGTTGCGACGCGAGAATCAACACGCGGAATGATTTTCGCCGCCGACGTGGCCTCCCTTTTGCATCTTCCGTTCGTATTTCCCTTGAATTATTTAAGGGCGCTACGTGATTGGCCGACAAATCCGGTCCGCGCCTCAATAATTTACCAATCATACGCGGTTCTTTGTGTTTTATACGTCGCGTTTCGAATAAATCGCATTGTGTATTCAGGAGAGCGGCATCCAACTCTATTCTCTGGTGCGAACCCTCTCCGCGTATCCGGTGATGGAAAAAGGCGAGGTGAAGAAACGGAAGAGGAAGCGACCGGAGAGATCGCGAAAGGGGCGATCGTGCACGATTTGCACGAATTGACTCGAAATTCGGCTGAACATCGCGAATTTATGACGAGGCTGCGAAGGAACGCGGTATCTTCCCCCGTCCTCTGTAACCCGGAATCGCAAGTATTGCTAACACAAGGATTCAGTTTAATACTTAACGACTTAGCGATATATGCACTAAATATTTTGCACGGAAACTCATAAGACATTCATAAGAAATCAAAAAATTTGAGAGAGAAGAGCCTTTAAATACCTCTATGAATTAAAACGTCCTGTGCTTTTTAAAACGACGTATTTATGCGGTATGGATTCCATTGAATAGATCACACATTCCACCGAGGCCGACACGATACGAACAGCTGATTTACGTATTGCTTACACGTGTAAAATCATTCACTGAATGCAATAATTTACACAGTTTTATACTACACGATAATATATTTATATATGTATAATAGTACTAGACATATATGTATATCGCGAAAGACGTTAACCTTCCTTTAAATATTACGGTAATCGACTGATATGATCGATTGACTGATGATATATTTATACCTACTGTTTACCTCACACATACCAATGTAACAATCGGTCTCATCAAAATATTTACATAAACATAATGATTCAGATCAGTCGCGACAAACACTCACAACTCTTCGGAACTTTATAACATACAGACATTTACGAAAATAATTACAAAATTTGTTCTACGAGAATTATAATATAGGCTCGTGATATTTTTTAATATCGACTTATCTCGACGGGGAGATTCAGCGAAACGATCGTCGCTGGATAAGCGAAGGTGATTTAACGTCGCAGGCGCAACTACTTATCTATAATCTGATGAGCGGGCGGTCGGTAAGTAAATGAAGCGGGAAACGAGAGAGACGGTCGAGCATTCGATGCAAATTGGCAATTTTTTCTCGTACGGCTCGCGGTAATCATTGGCAATTAGAGCACGGGGGCTCCCGATAAATGTTATTTACGATCACGATTATCCGGGGCGCGCCTAGCCGCCATAAGGTTCGCCTAACTACAACCTCCCGACCATCTAATTGACTGACGATTACTTTTGTTTGTACAAAATGCGGCACTTTATTGCTAGCGCAAACGGAAGCGCTCCCTCTTCCTGGATTGCCATTTCCTCCGTCACATTTATCTCACACGAAGTATAAATACGTATACTGCAATAAACGGAATATAATTACAGAAGAATATTTAAGCTTGCTTGGGGCAATTTATAATTTTATAATCCGGGACACCACATTTTATTTACAATTTATATATCATATAAAAAATATTGGAAGAGCCATATAAAATATATATATATATATATATAAGAATATACATAGTACACATACTATAGATAAAATTTTGTCATGAATTATTGTCTAGCAATTAAGTTTTTATTTTTTTTTTTCATACTTATTTACAGCAAAATCAAATTTTAAATACAAGAAAAAATTACATTTTCTTTATGCACGATGTATCGCAAAATATTTGAACTAGTCTGACTCTGATAATTTATGTTAATTTTTTAATATTATTTATTTATAATAATTATGATCTCTACTATGTTGATTGATGTAACATTAAATAACGAAAAAAATTATTAGAAAATAAATGGCACTCAAAAATCTTTTAGAGTTTGAGCAAATTGCAGATATTATTCTGTGAAGTAAAATATCAATTTTTATAACGTTAAATGACAAGATCATACATTGATGAAAATAAATATTAACAATCTGAGAAATTTTCATATATCTATCATTCTATTTTACTCTAACTCTTTAACATATATTCATAGTAGATATCTATTCATAACCACACAGTGTTGCACTTGTAATTTCGCATGTGATCTGTAACATGTATTGTTGGCTCTGTTCCCGCGTAATAAAGCACAGATACGCTTGGGCGCAAACTTCCCGAATACACGTATACTCTCGCAACACGATCATTTATCTGACTCTAACTGATTGAATGAAAAATGTATAGTTTGGAGCGCGCGGCGCGAGTCTATAGAAGCTGTGAATGAAAAGTCTACGCTTAAAGTGTCAATAACTGCAATCCTATATGTGCATCCGTCTGTATTAAAATAACCACCTGTCCGCCGTCGAGGCAACCTCGCAAAGTAAACCGTTTCCACTCGCGAATAGAAACATTCAATATCGAAATATCTCGATATTTTAATAACACAAACACGGTACGATAATTATGCAAACCAATTACGATATAAATTTGGCATCCTTGTGCTCAATATAGTTTTGAAATTGGATCGATAATTCGTCCCGAAACTGTGAATACTTGCTCGACTTGTCCGCGCTCACATCCGTTCCTCTCATCGCCATTCACTCGTAAAAATCTCTCTCCGCGCTTTTCTGAATCCCGGAATTCTTTCCTTTCTCGCACTCCGTATCCCTCGCTCGCGCTCGCTTCTCGCCCCATCATTTCGCAGCGGCACGTGATTTAAGCGGGCGTAAAAACGGCCGTTAAAAAACAAGAAAGCTCCTTAACTCTCACTTTGATTGGCCAACTCGGTTTATTAAAACGTCTCGCGCGCGACACGGCCGTTATCCCGTTTTTTTTTCTTTTCTTTTTTTTTTTAACTTCTTCAACGTCCTCTCGTTCTCGCGGCGTTAACCTCTCGAATGTCCGTCGAGGCCGTATTTTTATATTTAGTTGCCCTCTTCGTCGACCCGGCCTGCCCTTTTCTTTGTCGAGTTTTACTGCTTCTTCTGAGCGTACTCGACTCAAGCGATACCACTAGGCACATTCGACCCTTTCGTTAATGACACTTCTCGAAACTGCGAACGCGAATTTATCTTCGCGGCCTCGTTAACGGCCGTATTAAGCGACCGTCACGAGTAATCGAAACAATGTGGCGAAAATGTCTTGGTGAATAATCTCGATTCGATCCTGAATGACGTGTAAATGGTAAGATAGTCTATTTCACACAAATCGTAGAAAGATGATAAAATTGTACAGCAATAAAACAAAATAGTAAAAATATGTTAGAATATAATACATATCAAAAATGTTCAAAAATAATACATTCAAGGTATGTATATAATAAAAATTCACCTTTTAATTTTTACTATATATTATAACTAATAGCACAGAATAAGTAAGTAAAACTATTTCATTTATGTTATCATCGCGGCTCTTTCATAATTTTCTTAGCGTTTCTCAAGTTTAATTTTAAATTAACATATCTCTATATTCCGCGACGTTTGAACTTATATTTAGTTTAGTTATAATTTACGTAGCGTACGATTTAATCTTAATCTCCCTCCTTTTCCCCCGTGCGTCGCATAGAATTCTATGATTATTTATTGCATTCCATGATTATGCACACTCCACGTAGTTGTACAGTGTTCTTTTTTACTTTAATAAATAATATTTATCTCAACCGCTATATATCGTATAAGCGAAAGTCACGTCTCATAGAAAATATCTGTATCTTTTTTCACTCCTCGTCCCCTTGCGCTTATTTTCTTTCTTTCTCTTTCTCTCATGTCTCTTTTCTGAAATATTAATTAATAAGGCAACTTCCGTCGGACGAGATACTTGCTGCTAATTAAGAAATACCTACCGCGCGCTCTTTTCCAGCGCCGGGGCGAGGAGGTGGAAAAATAAGAGGTAGAAATTCCACGCTGCTCTGGCACCCTTGAAACGAGGTAAACTTAATCCTCGGCCAAGTTAAACCAACTGCTAAGCTTTTCATTATGCCAAGAGCGAGCGAAAAGGGAAGAGAAGAACGGAACCCAGTTGTGGGGCACCGCGTCTCGTTAATGCCGAAAACCTCGCACTGATATCGCATTTTCGGAAACGTAATTTTATGCTTGTATCTTATTGAAGCTAAATATATGCGGATGCATTCGAAATTGGAATGTATTCATCGCGATAGAAATACAAGTAATATATCTAAGAGAAAATCGATCACGATAATATCGATGACATAATGTCCGAAGCGGATAACAGATGATTATGAAATGCGTGCACCCAAAAAACGCAATAAAAAATATAACAGATATCGATCAGATCAATTTTCACGACAATCGAGATACGTGCATTAACGAGAAAGCGATATCCCCGTCTCATTCGCGTGAGATTTCCCGCGAGCGAGATTACGAACGAGCTTAGGGTTACTCGCTTAAGGACGACGGCATAATTCCGGACGACGGAGAGCAGTTCCTAGAAAGCTTGATGCGTCCCAGGAGTGCCCTCGGCGAGTGTTTTTCCGTGATGAGGACGAAGGATCGGCGGCGAGGAAAAAGCCGGAACTTCGAATTCGCGTGCGACGAAAGTGCGCGAAAGGCGACGAAAAGTTTTACGAGCTCGCCAGGCGCGCTAGCCGACGGCTGGTTTGAATTGCATCAATTAAAAAAAGCCGTTCCGCAAAAATTCCATAACGCCGCGTCGCGGCGTGACGCGACGAACGGGGGAAAAGGGGCGAAAAGAGGGAGAGTGCCCCCGCCGCGTCAAATGTCCGAGCTCTTTTGCTGCTTTTCCGCGTTTCCGCGCGGCGGTAAAGCCCTTTTATTCGTTCGCGACGCGTTTTGTCGCACGGCCGATAACGACCGGCTGCCACGCGACTTAGGCATCAGTCGCAATTAATCCGCACACGTTGCCGAGATTTATTATTAATTGACACACGCGGGGCTGTTAAATAAATTTTACCACAAAAATGCCAAATAAATTTTATTTTATGCGGCAGCGAAATTTATATACGCGGAGATTATAAGTGTATAAAAACATATGGACGATATAGATCGATCGATACTGACATATCGGAAGAATTTATCAGTAAATTTCAAAGTAAAGATTCCTCTGACGCTTTGTACAGTTTCCAAGCAGAAAAGGGAGACAAGTAGCAGTCTTACGTGTGTCTCTTGCAGTCGATACTATTGTTCGCCGTCTATAGAGAGACGAATAACGTAACAACGGTATAACGCGCGCGCAAAAGTATGCATACGTAAGCGGAAGTCAAAGCATCCGAACTATCTTTTCATTTTGCTTTGTCCCGCCCGCGGGGCGGAATATATGCGTATATGTATATATGTATATGAAAATATGTGAAAAGGGTCGTCTATCTTGCGCGAGGGTGGCGGGCGAGGGGGAAATGCCGTCAGTCGGACAAACAATTTCCCTGCAACTGTTGTCTCGCTCGTAGGTAACAGAAAGAGGTGAATTTAAAAAGGACGACGAAAATCGGCGAGTTTCTGGCTAGGTGCTTTCTACGAATACATGCGACTAATATTTTGAAACAGAATAAAAAGACCTATATATCTTTGATACAATATAGTTGTTTCCCTTCATCGTGGCGATATTCCAGATATTTCAATTTCACACGATGGAAACAAAAGTTGAATTGCGAATTTTAAAACGAAGCTAAAAATACGCGAACAATTTATCGCAGAACAAAGTATCGGAAGCCTCAAAACTCGCCATTTTTCTCGTACGATTCTCATACGAAAAAAGAAAGCGAAAAACTTTTTCATAAAAAGAGATGTGAATACCGAGGTAAAAAAGCTATTCTAAATCGTGGCG